TTAACCGGCAGTTGACTTCTGACTTTAAATAGCCATGATCCCATTGTATGTCATATTCGACTACTTCTGCAGTACTCACCTCACATTTTTTCTACCTTCGTCTTTGAAGCACTCTTCTGTTTCCCCCCCCCCCTCTCCCCTCCGACTTTTTTCNGGATGCCCTACTGACACACCACAAAGAGGCCAAGAAAGACCACGATCTGCAGAGAGTCGTCCTTGTAAGGATTTAAAGTTTTGAAGTTCAGTGTCTTATTTGTGGGTTTAGCTTTACGTTTATGTTGCTTTCGAATTAAAAAGGAGCGCTGTATTTAGCGTACAACAAATCTCCATATTCTGATCCTTCATGCTTTGTCTGTGGTTCACATTTACTGTTGACTAGTTCGGCATTTGAAATGTTTCCATTTTGTTTCTTTCAATAGTTTAATTAGGATAACATTGGTGTCAGTTCACACACTATTGTCTCAAGTCCACTGAAAATCTACTCGAATTGTCGCCATGGTGGAGTGAATCCACAAATTATTCTTCAAAAGGGATTTTGCAAACTAGCTCCAATTAGTTTGTTTTGCAATACCTCTGCGTTTTTATTACCCTTTATCTTGAGTTAGTTGGTAACTGTCATTTTTACTTATTTTTAATAGATTTTTCTGTCCCACCACCAGGGATGGAGAGGTCATAAATTATTCAACTTGTAGTGTTTGGGTCTTGGTTAAAGTGCTTGGAGTGATTGGGATACTTTTACGATGCATCAACTAGTGGCAAATAGGTAATACTGCAATTTGAAATCACACTTTGAAGTGCTCCCATTTAGTCATTGCCAGGATGTTGAGCGAACGTTCTTCTCAAACTATGAATCACGTAAATGAACAAATGATTGAATAAATAAAGAGATGAAGGCGACTCCTGATAGTGATGTGGACTTTGGCGAGTTGCTGTGCCGTCGAACTTGGAGAAGCTTGCCATGTTCAAGTTGAAAGTGTTTGTAGATATGTCTTTATTTGACAAGATGTTATCCTGTCCAACTACCCCGTGTATTTAGGCACAACATTTATTCCATGTCTCAATTCTGATGAGGTATTCTTATTCAGTGTCGACCAATTAATCGCGCTCTTCGAATAGTGTTTCCAGTTGTTTAAAATGCCAATATTCTGACACAGAAAAGCAAGGTTCTCTCCTAAACTCAACGTTTCATTCTCTTATTTCCCATCAAATCAAAGGTAAGACAAGAGGGTTTACAAGTTCCACCGTCTGGGAAAATTCCCCCACAACTTGTATAATTTTTAACGCTTACTTTTGCCTTTTGGGAAATTTGGTTTGACATCAAATTGGTACATTTATGAAGATCCTAGTGATTTTTGCAACATTGTGAATATATAACTTGTTCAGAAATCTTTCAAACTTGTCTATTTGACAGTTTAACGTTAAAAGCGTTTAAATTTTGTCCTAATTGTTCAGAATTGTTACGTTTTAAAAATTCCCTCCTAAAATATATTTGTTTTGGTTATTGAAACTGCCAATACTGTAATCGTAAATACATTTGAAGACTGAATTCGTGGCTTTTTTGCAACTAACACTAAACTTACTTATTTACAAATCCAATTATGTTAGTTGTGCCATTTCAAACCTCCTCTTAAGATGCTTTTAATTCCAAAATGTTGGAAAGTGAACAAATTTTGCATTTTTAATGAAGTTGACACCTGAGTTGAAAAAATTATGAACATGATCAAAGGTCGCCATATTTCTTGTCTTTTTTGCAATATTTTTTCGGAATAGTCCACCCAACAACCACAACTAATGAAGTGGCAAAATTGAACATTTTTTGGAGGGGAAAGCTACGGTTCACATTAAAATTCTTAAAGTTGTCACTTGGTCAAAATGCCACTAATGTGGCGTTTTCGTGGGATGATTCACGCCATGAGTGCGTGCTCATGTGCTCACTACTAGGGAGCCAATAGGAATGCAACGAAGTGAGATATATAAAATGGCACAATTTACTGAGAAAATTATTCATTACCTTAGCACAATGGAGCTACTGAAAGTACTTAGTTTGTTCGCACTTCTTGTGTGTGCGAGAGCTGATGATGTGGACCAAGATTCCACAACGCCTGAGCCGCTGAAAGTAGTAAATGAGGAAGTGAGTCCAGAATATTGGTTGAGACAGGCCAAGGAAAGGTTCGCCAAAGATTGCAAGATGTTCAGCTCACTGAGAAACTCCTCCCATGCCAAGAATGTGATCATGTTGTTGGGTGATGGTATGGGGATGCCAACAATTTCTGCCAGTCGATTCTACATCGCGGAAATGCAGGGTCGAAATGGCTCTGCTGTTTTCCACCCCTTCGAAGAGTGGGATTTCAATACGATGGCCAGAACATATGATCTTGAGACATCAGTTACTGATTCCGCCAGTTCAGCTAATGCCTACCTGACTGGTGAGAAGGCTATTACACCACTAATTCGTCTTATTTTCTAGGCTCGAAAACGCGAACTGGCATGATTGGAATCGACGGCAATCTAAACGTCAAACAATGTGGAAAATGGGACTCACAGCATTTCACGCAATCAGTTCTTGAAGCTGCGAACGAAGCTGGCAAAGCAACTGGTGTCATTACAAACACAAGAATAACCCATGCTTCTCCATCTGGCACTTATGCTCATGTCACCTACCGAGACATGGAGAGTGACGCGTGAGTTCAACATCCATTGTCCTTATGACCAGTAACTTTGACTCCATTTACCAATGATGTAAACCTTCTTTCAACAGCAAAATAAAGGAATTTTGCCCAACAGAACACGAAGAAATGCACTGTCAAGACATTGCTTGCCAGTTGATTCAGAACCACCAATACATCAATGTGATTATTGGTGGTGGACAGAAGAATTTCTACCCCAATGATGTCAATCTTAAGGCAGATGATAATAAATTGGGTGTTCGACTGGATGGGAGGAATCTGATTGAAGAATGGATTAACAATAAAACTAAGGAGAACAAAAAGTTCTGCTTTGTCGGCAAGCCAGAAGAGCTGAAGGATTGCAAACCATCAGAAAATGATTACATTTTGGGTTAGTTATCATATGCATCTAATAATAATGACTTTATTTATTCATCTTCTCACAACCCCGTCATTTTTCGAACTAGCGCTTCCTTACGAAGATCATATGCCATATACTCACGACATTCCAAGGGACAAACCGGATCTTCTAGATTACGTACGCACAGGTCTTGAAGTTCTCAAACGACAGAAAAATGGATTCTTCCTTTTCATCGAGAGTGGTCGAATTGACCACGCTCATCACAACAATTATGGGCGGTAAAGCAAAATCAACAAAAGTTTCTAATTAAATCCAAAATAATTTTGGCAAATTGTCATTTTCCTTTCTTTAGTTATTCCCTCGATGAGATGTTGGAGTTTGATAAAATTATAAACTACATCCAAGCATCAGTTGATCTAAAGGAGACTTTGTTAATTGTCACAGCTGATCACTCGCACGCACTTGAATTGGTTGGCCAACCCGGACGATTCCAAAGTGTCCTTGGTATTGATCAATATTATAGCAATCATGTGAGAAAGGCATTATTATCTTTTACTAGGTGGGTAAAACCCTCCCCAACTAATTCTTTCCCTTTCTACCCATAGACCAAAGATAAGATGCCATTACAAGGACTCAACTATATGAATGGACCAAATGGTTTAAATCAGGATTTTCGGAAAAATCCCTCTTACGAAGATATCTTCGCCTGGGGGTATCAACAGCAGACATTAGTACCACTTCGTTTTTCCTCCCACGGTGGTGACGATGTCGGCGTCTACGCAATCGGACCCCAATCGCCTTTCTTCCACGCCAATGTGGACAACACCTTCATTGCCCAAACCATGAAACTGGCACTAGGAGTCAAACCCTTTAAGAAAAAGAATTCACCCTGTGATGATTTCCCTTGAACCCTTCTCTCAGCTTCAACTGTAATCACAATTTTCTACTCATTGTTATTAAAAACTATGGTACTACTCAATAAATAAATCGTTGTTTTACTTAATTCGACTTCCGTTTGTGTGAAATTAGTGGAGCATGCTGAGGTTAATTAAGTTTACTAATAATGACATCTTTTGTTGAGTTAGAATTGTAACGCTACTGATGCAAATTTTCGCTAATTTACTAATACGCAAAATGTAATAATCATTATAAAAAAATAATAAATTTTCCTTTAATTCAAGAATTGAGATTTAATGTTAGTTGATTGCATTTCCATCGACCAGTCGGAATATTATTTTGTTATTTTATTTTGAATTCCAGGATTATCGTTCGTTATCATCTTCCAGCTAATTTTCTTGGTATAACTTCGCACATTTCTTACATAACTCTTGGTCTGAAAACAGACTGCAAATAATATTACTTAAATCTCAGATTTGAGGTTTATATCATCCCAATTTAATGTTCAACTCAAGAACTCCAATCAAGTTTAATGAGTTAAGCTCTTTATTCTTACCCAAGTACACTTCACTGATACTTCGTTCGTCAGTTCTTCATTTCTTCTCGTACATTCTGGCGTTATCTTGTGAATCTAACGTCAAGAAGGGAGAACCTACCAGAATCCACATTGTGCGCGCATTCACAGTTGCATTTATTTGAGGTCTTCAAACAGGTCAGTCGATCTGCGAAAATTTTGCAACAAAATTCGTATTTTATTGGCGAGGTACATATCCCATCAGGATATTTCACCTATTTTGTTATAAAGGAAGTATTTCTTTTTAATGAAGTGTGAGACGTGAGATTTATTGCTGGAATAAATGTTAAGCACGAAAGAGCGATAAATTAAATGTTGGGTGGGGGGGGGGGGGGTGNCCCCCCCCCCCCCCCCCCCCCCCCCCACCCCACCTCCCTCCCTCCTTCGAGGTGCAGACGAGACTGAAGAGCAAGAAAAGTCAATCATTTTGAATGAGACTTTTATGTCCAACGGTGCCATTGAAATTACGATTTTGTGCAATAAACCCGGCAGTTATTTCACTTAACTTACTTTTTCTGTTGGTACTAGTTTATGGCCCTTCTCGAAGACATTAAGAAAACAACAGCAAATGCATTAATGGGCTCTCCTTTAATGAGCATTGAACTCATCGGAAGACCACTGTCTACTTATTGGTTAGTAACCATTCGAGGCAAGGAGGTAAGGTAGGCAAGAAGCATAGTAGTAGTGGATCAGTAAGACACGAGCTTCGAAGGGCTATTGAAGGACTTGCGATCACCGTCTTCCCCCCCCCCCCCCCAATCCCTCTCTCTCTCTCTCTCTCTTACTCTACTATCCGCGACTGGGCACTTTAGTGCCATTCGATTCAGTAATGATAAAGAGAAATACCTTCACTTCTTCCTGCTTGAACCACCAGAGTTCGGCTAATCTCTAGCGACAGGACATGAGACAGGAAATCAACGAATAGGAGTTCAGAGCCCTCATTTTCGGTACAAATGTATGGGAATTCATTCATCCTATTTGATGACTGCCAAAAGTAAACACTTTCTATTCATTAACTGATTTCTGCTCCTTCAGTGAATGAGGTAATAATTTTACGACAAAATTAAGAATTCACATTTTTTTGTCTTGAAAATTGAAGCAAGCGCAAACTTCATGAATATGAGTAAAGATTTTATTCCATTGAATAACGAAATATTTTGATGCTGAGTGTCACAAAAATTCACCAAATGCTAGAAATTCAAGTTATGAAATACATTTCTATATTTCACTTAAAAATGAGTCTTTATTTAAGTAGAAATTTTCATGATTTGTTCCGTAATCACATATTTCCGTACGCAGATTTATTTGCAAGTGTTTTAGTAAATATATTAATTATACGTTGCCATAGATTAAAATGCCATTAATTGTAAGGGAAAAATTTATTGAAAAAGAAGACGTAAATTCAAATGAGTTCTGACGTCCACTAGACCACCATCTCACACTCACCTTCACCCCCCCCCCACACACCCCACCACCCCACACCCCACCACCCCACCACTCCACCACTCCACCACCCACCCTCATTCATACGAGCCAAGTTGCATGCCGCCCTATGAAATATTGCCTTTAGACCCCACCCCACACCAAGGTTCATATAAAAGACGCACACAGTGGAGTTGCTTCTCCATAGTCATGGCAATCAAGTCTGTGATTGTATTCCTTCTACTTCATCTTCTCCAATTGGCCTTTGCCGATGAGCCAGACGCTTACCAGGCGCGTCAGAAACCCATCACATATCCCTTCCCACCATTCACCATCTTGAAGCAGGAGATACCTCCATCCTACTGGGAGGACCTAGCTCGGAAGGAAATAGACAAGGCGAACAGCTATTTCCCGATTTCTACTCGAAGGCAAAGAAGGCGAAAAATGTGATTCTCTTTCTCGGTGATGGCATGGGAATTCCTACACTCGCCGCCACTAGATTTGATCGCACCAACACCACTGGTAAGGCTGAGAAGCACCCATTCGAGGACTGGGAGTTCTCCTCCCTCTGCAGGACCTATGATCTTGAAACCATGGTCACTGACTCTGCCTCCTCCGCCACAGCCTATCTTACAGGTACGAAGTGCCACCTTGACCACCACCTAGAAATTTGAAGGGAAAATGTGACCGAAGGTGTGTTTCTGCATTGCAGGTACCAAGACGAGAACAGCCATGATAGGTGTGACAGGCGAGGTTTTCTACAAGGAATGCAAAATGTACTCCGACGAAGAGAAGACAGAATCTGTTCTAACTGCAGCTCAAAAGGCAGGAAAGTGGACTGGCATTGTGACCTCATCAAGAATTACTCATGCCTCACCAGCTGGTTGCTATGGTCATGTCGCCCATCGTGACTGGGAGGTAGATTCGTAAGTTCTTCATTTTTTCGCCCTCAACATCAACTTCACTGTCTAAATCGTCTCTTATAAATTTAGAAAGTTGCCATGTAATAGAAACGCAGATTGTGCTTGTACTGATTTGGCCTATCAGCTCATATATGAACACCAAGATATCCACGTACTTATGGGTGGTGCTCAAGAGTTCTTCTATCCTGATACTGAACCGTTGCCTTGTAACAGAAGTGCTAGGGGCAGACGTTGGGATGGAAGAAATTTGCCGAAGGAATGGGAGAAAACGCAGCACTCCAAGGGCCGCAAGTACGTCTATGCAGACAGTCCAAGTGCTTTCAAGAAGATCAACTTTGAGGATTACGATTATGCTCTAAGTAAATTTGTCCTCCATGTCAAGTCATAGTGACTGATGTCATACCTAATTGGGCCTTCATTGTTTACTTCTGTCCTAATAGGTTTGATCTCAGCATCTCATCTTCCTTATGAGTTGGATAGACCCCAAGGTGATCCTGGACTATACGAACAAGCCATGGCTGCAATCAAAATTCTAAAAAAGAGTCCCAACGGCTTTTTCCTGTTCCTCGAGGGAGCTAGAATCGATCAGGCCCACCACGAAAACAGAGCCATGTTTGTTTTGTGTTCATAATTTAAGTCAAACCAATGAGAATGGTTCATCTTCAATGATTTCATTATTAATGCATTTCAGGAAGTCATTCGCAGAGCAGCATGTCTTCGATCGAGTCATTGAGGATATCTTCAAGGAGGTGAATCCCGAGGAAACATTGCTTGTTGTAACAGCTGACCACTCGCACTCCTTTGCATTGGTTGGTCAACCCAGTCGATTCCGAAGTCTGTTCCTTCCAGATCTTGTGAAGGGCAATGAAGTAGGACTGTTCATTTACTTCAAACATTCGCCTTTACTTGAATTCTGACGATTTGAATCTTTTTGAAAGACTCTAGATAACAAAGGCATGCAGCCGGTTGGCTACATGACTGGTCCAGGATCAAAAATGAATGCAACGAGAGACAATGTTTGGGACATGAAAGATGAAACTTTGTTTGGCAAGGACACTCAATTGCAGGCATTGATTCCAATTGGCTGGGCAACACATGGTGGGGATGACGTTGCAGTCTTTG